GCTACGGTCCTCCCCCCCCATCAATATTGTATAACGATGGGGAGAGGGGGAGAGGACTGTAGAGGGGCGTGCGGATTCGCTCTCTCCCCCATATTAGGTTAGCTAGGTTATGTTAGGTTAAGTTAGATTAGGATTAGTTTAGGTGTGACGGCGCGCGCTGTCCCGGCACTCCACGGAGTGTAGGAACGGCGCGCTGCCGTCACTTAGATGTAAGTTAGATTAAGTTAGGTTTACTTTAGGTTAAGTTAGGTTAAGATGAAATTGTAAATAGTACAGAAAAAAAAAAAAAAAAAAAAAAAAAAAAAAAAAAAAAAAAAAAAAAAGAAAAAAAAAAAAAAAAAAAAAAAAAAAAAAAAAAAAAAAAAAAAAAAAAAAAAAAAAAAAAAAAAAAGTGGAGGAGAGCAGCAGCCGCCCCCGGAAGAAGGTATACTTATATAGGTACTTCATACGTATATAGGTTGTGTTGATCAATTGGTTACTTAGTTCTTAAAACCTAATCTAACCTATTCCCCGGTTACGCTGACATAGCCTCTCAAGGCTATCAGATTAGATAGAAAGAAACAAACAAACAGAATGGTAACAGTAACCAATTAAAATGTTCGGTTAAACAAATTCATCCTTCATCTTATCGCGCTGTTTGTTTTGACAATTAGGACCATGTTGTACGCTTGAAAATTGATTAAAATTTCAATTTTTTAATTCTGCACCCAACCCTTTGTTTGTTTAGGATCATATTTCACCAGGTAGTAATCTTTGTTACGAAATCTCATTTGTAAATATTTGGCTTTTTAATTGTGTAAAGTATTGTTTTACATGTGATCTTTAACACCTTCGTCGTCCATAACTTTTGTAAAGTCAAAAAACTTGTGACAGATTTTTAAATAAATATGTTGATGTTCGACAGGAAACAGTGTTTTACAAAAAAATCATTACTTTTCTTCCGCGGCTCATCAATTTGTAATTACCAACGTAAAGCGGGAGTGGAAGTGGGAATGGGAGTGGGAGTGGGAGTGGGAGTGGGAGTGGGAGTGGGAGTGGGAGTGGGAGTGGGAGTGGGATTGAGATTGGTAGTGGTTGTGGGGTGAAAGTGGGAGTGGGAGTGGGAGTGGGATAGCCTGCAC